GCCGTTGAGATGACCTCCGGTGGAATTATATATATGCCAAGTTTCATAAACATCGGTTCAGTTATTAAAAAATTGTTGGATGATATACACATACACACAGACAGCAAGGCGATCTCATAAGCCTACTTTTATTTTGTCAGAATAAGGAAATTAGGCTGAAAGTATTATTCTGAACGATGTGTCCTCTGGTGAGCCGTAAGAATAGCCTTAGGCTGGGTATCGATTGCGCGCGGCTGTTGATCGACTCTCTTCCTCAGTTCTCGGAACGCCACAAGACCATCTCAACTGAAAGAGCAGTGCACACTGAACTCCCTTTGCCGCGGGACAAAGAACCGCTCCGATTTGGCTCGACACGCGCCAAGTTCGCGCGCGGCAACATGGTGTCGACTTTGCCAGGAAAAGCAACAAACACTGTCTCGGCTGCCCACCTTTAAACGGTTGAATCATAAGTTCGTAAGCAGATTTTCGGGCTGACCCCCCCCCCCTTTTTGACAAAATTTCAGCGGTGCCAGTGTAGCAAATGTGTAGGACCATTGATATGACGAAACTGATCTCAGTAATCTTTACTAAGTCAGTTGCTATCTCACAGAAAGCACACCTCCCCTCCATTACAAAGACCAGCCGGTTCGTCTAATTGGAAGAATTTCTCTGTGAATCGCGGAACCTTCCGTAGCACACAAGTCTTTCAGACCCTTCTTCCGATGGGGAAGAGACATGAAAGAACAGTGAATATGTGACTTCGCCTCGTTATTACTTTAATCTCCGTCCCCTTTTTTATCCTCCCTTCTTCAGCTTCCTCTCTTTATTTCCTTTTGCTCCGATTTCTCCATCTCTTTATGTCTTCTCTTTCCTCTGTTCCTATATATTGTGACTTATTTGCTCAAAGGAAGAACTGCGGAGCCAGAGGACCGTTGCTAGCGAATGGCTCTGAAACAACATCGGTTTCCAGGCAACGGCCGCGAAACAGACAACGGATCAACGTCCGTTGCTAGGCAGGAGATTCTTAATAAGCAATAATAGACGGCCGCTGCTATGGAACGGCTCGGTAAACACTTCCCCGCGGCAACGGATGCGCATGGAACAGAGGCACGCTATTTCTGTGTGGTCCGTGTCGAGATATCATAAGCACTGGACAAGGTTAGAGCTTAGTTAATAGTTAGTTGAAAGTCGGGCTGCGAAGATTGGTGTGAAATGGCCGCCAGCCTGGGAACTAGTCAATTGAAAGTCAAGCTGCGAAGAGAAGACTTATTTGGAGTCGAAAGAATACGCAATTGGGAAAAGCAGAGGACTTGAGCACGGGAGCAGAGGAATAGTCATTGTTGGAGCCGTTACCAGGAAACGTCTAATGAATGTACTGCGGGCTCGAAAAGACTTAGCGTGTCGAAAATATCGATGGCGCTGTAATTAAGTGTAATTACGAGTTGTGTATTAATGAATCCAATCCAAAACCTTCTCTGTAGTCACACGCTCATGTGACAATATTGTCACGTATCCTGGTAACGCGACAAGAAATTAATGGGTTCCGACTTATATGAAGCTGTTTACTGGATAAGTCGTTTACAGTTGCAGTTACAATCACTCAGAAATCACGTCTTTCTGGTTCTTAGCTGAGCTGGTTTCTTTTGCTCTAAGCCTGCTCCGTTCGCCTCTGGTCTGGTTTCTTATATTCTACAGTCGGACGGACTACAAAGCACCTTCTTCAAGGGATCCGTTTCACATGTTCTGTGCACCGGTCGTTGGTGTATTCGTTGCAGCGGGAACTGCACTAGTTCTGGCTTCCACTTTCGTGGTAGCGTCTGTTATGTATGAGTTGTCGCTTGAACCTGTTTCATTGTGACCCCGACAACGATATGGAACCTTGGATACCGAACCGTTGCCTAGCAATGGACGCCCGCTCTGAGTCAGATATTCTGGTTTTTAGTCGGCGCACCGCAATATCCTTCGTCTCCATTGTTCTACTTCTTTCTCGTCTTCCTCCTCATGCTTATCGTCCTTTCTTACACTGTTCTGTGTGCTCTGACCCATACAGTTACGCCGTCTTGATCTGAAAGTGGTGAAATGCAGACATTTCTTTTAATGTTGAAGTTAGTGAGCGTTAGAAGGTTAAGGACGGCGGTTGCTGTCGAAGTTATATAGCGTCAGATGTTGAAGCCAGGTGGACATGAAACAGAGTGTATAAATTGTTTATGTGGGTGGAAGAATCTGACATTTCATCTGTTTCGTTTGAAAGAAAGCAGGTCATATTCCAACGTGAAGAATTCTTTTTGTTGTTTTCGGAGCAACGTCTTAACTAAACAAGATCAAAGAAAGAAATAAAAGTTTACAGATGAATGCAATTTCCTTGAAAACGACGTCATATTTATGGCTCGATTCCTGATAATGTCAGCGTACTTATCGGTTGCAATAGAATTCATTTGTATGATTTGTCGCGTAGAAAAAATGTATATATTTCTTACCATCAAAATTCCTTTTGAACACGAGAGAAATTTTGACACGAAACCTAGCTCAGTTAAGCTGCTTCAGGCTGGTATCTTGCTTGGCTTAAATTTCGACCCTGAAGAAGTAGGCAGTATATTCCACCGAAACGTCAGTTAACTTTCAACGGACTACATGGCTTTATATTGCAAACCTAATCTAGACAAGACGGTTTGATAAGAGTCACTATGTAAACATTTGGCCAATGTAACAGATTTAGCAGAAAGCCTGTAATGAATGTGTTGAATGTTTCAATGTGGCCAGAATTGCTGGGGGTTTCGACTTTGGGCACCACCCAATTTCCGAAACGTTGTGTTTTGTAGTTGGCCGCTTCTGTGTTCTAGTGGTCAGAGTTCCTGGCTAGAGATCCAGAGGTCCGGGTTCGATTCCCGGCGCTATAAGATTTTCTGAGAAGTAGTTGGTCGAGGCCGCACCATAGCTCAAGCGGTTAGTCGCTGGCTTTCCACCGCGGCGGCCCGGTTCGAGACCGGGTCAGGTCATGGATTTGTGGTGGACAAAGTGTCGCTGGGGCAGGTTTTCTCCGAGTACTTCGGCTTCCCCTGCGAATCTTAATTCCACCAAATTCTCCGTCATCATAATCACCCGGGGCACGTACAATAGGCCAATCAGTGGCCGACGTGTTGAGTGGACCCAGCTGGACTCCACTCCCCCCCCCCATGCGAAATACGAAGTAGTGGGTCTGGAACGGGGTCCATTCACTCTCGTGATGATAACTGAGGAGCTACTTGAATGGAAAAATTGCGGCTCTGGTCTAGAAAACTGAGATTAACGGCAGTGGGCATTCGTTGCGCTGACCACGCGAAAACTAACTTTACCGACAAGCGGCGGTCGCTCGGTCGGTATAGTTCGCTTGCGGATTAAAGCCACGGAGTTTGTGTTGTTTGTTTTTGTTTGTTTGTGTTCTATAGTTTTCAGAATACCAGACGATGGACAAAGTCCAAAAACCCAGTAATTCTGTTCATCAGAACCGTTTAGAATCTACCTAAAGGTGGGAGTACGCGGTAGAAGCATCTGGCTAAACAAATACACATATAATTATTATTACATATTGACTGAACTCTCCCCGAATATATTACAACAAAAATAACGCACCACTACAACAGTCTCATGTTGATATTACGCGTTTTACTAAACTTCGCAGACCTGTTTCGTTTTTAGTTAAAATCGGACGACAGGAAATGGGGAAATTTGCATGAAGACCAGAAAGTTTTCCCCGCCCATAACTCGAGCTTAATACGCCAAATATTTATCGGAACGAGAAAATATTTCGAACAAACTTTGTGGAGACAAAATAAATACACTTTTATGTGCCATAATTCATCCGCAAGATTTTACGGTTTTTGAGACGGTTAAGCAAAAGCGAGCTAAGGCGCCTCGATTGTTATTTCCTGATTATAAGACTTCTTTGTCCTAGGATATGAGGCAATATAGTCGGGTGAATGTCAACCGATGTTTCGGAGGAGCATATGATATCCATCTTCAGGGCCGAAGAGTAAAGCTCTCCCTGTAACATGCCGCGGAGGCCTGTACGGTCGTGAGACGTCGAGGCTCCCATATTTTCAAGACAATAGGCTCACAGATGACGGTGAGGTTGTCAGCCTTACGCACCGGCCGCCCTTTACCCCCAGGAATATTCCTGGTACTCATTTCTGTTAGAGACTGAGTCGCCCCGGGCCATAGTGCGGTTGGAAGGATTAGGTCAATTGAAAAATCCAGTGACTTCATCGGGATTCGATCCCGCGACCTTCCGGCTTGTAACTCAGTGCCTCAACCAACTAGGCTACCGCGTACCGCCGTCGAAGAGTAAGCCAGGCAAGAAAGCAACATGAAGCAGGCAGCTGGTTTGTTGCGTATCTTTAATTCAATCCTGAAAAATGCAGGTGATATGTCCCTCCGAAACGTCGGTTGCCTTTTGCTTGACTCCACGGCGTTATATCTCAGAAGATATAAATATTCATAGCGATCGCTGTGAGAACGGCAAGCCCAACATTTCCTAGCTTCTTTACTCTAGTTTTCTTGCAGCTGATACTGATTTGGGTACGGGTGAATGATATTGTTTGACCGCCTCTGTGGTGTAGTTGTCAGAGTTCATGGCTACAGATCCAGAGGTCCCGGATTCGATTCCCGGCACTGTCAGATTTTCTGAGAAGTAGTGGGTCTGGAACTGGGTCCAGTCAGCCTTGTGAGGATAGTTGAGGAGCTATTTCAAGGAAATAGCGGCTCCGGTCTAGAAACCCGAAATAAAAGGCCGTGGGGATTCATTACGCTGACCACGCGACACCATCTATCCGCTAAAGTTGGCACTAACTTTGCCGACAAGCGGCGGTCGCTCGGTCGGTATAGTTCGCTTGCGGACTGAAAGCTCGGAGTTTGTTGTTTTGAATGATATTGTTTAATTTTCAAGTTCTGTTGTGAGCCACTTGAAGCGACTCGCGGACCACAAGGCCCGCACCGTCCCTTCAGCCAAGAATGACCATTAGCTGCTTTACGATGTTACGTATGAAATGTCGAAAGATGGATGCAAAGTTCGGATGTCGCGAAGGGGTCAAGCAGTGACCTGTAACCAACGTGAGGCTTTGCCAGAAGATGATGCAATAATTGAAGATGGATTGTTGTGTGTGACACACCCTTCGAGTCGAAAAGTCACGACGAATTTATTATGCATGAGAATGTCATCGTAGCAGCCGTTCCCTTTACTCAAGCTAATACGACGAATTGTCATTTACTGTATTCATGGCTACTTTTTATTTTGTGTCTCAATGTTCTACGTCATTTGTCTTTATTTTGTGTTTCTTTAACGACGCTGTCAACATCTCAGCTTATATAGCGTCTAGCGATTGGATGATCGTGAAATGATTTAAGATACTATCCACTCATATGTCTGGAGGAACTGAGGAAGACAACAATAAGCTCGTAATGATAGACTAATTGGCTTGGGTTCGAACCAGACACCTACAAAATACAGGTGAGAAGCGTTACAGGTTTTGCTGACTTGCTCGGTATTTCGTTTTTCACATTTTAAAAAGAAATTTAATTTTATGCGTGGCATGATTCAGTGTAGGTTACAAACTAGAGAACCAGCCAACAAACTGACTGACTGACTCCTTCGAGTCCTTCTTGAGAAGCTTTTATTAGTTCAGTTACTCAAGAACTTTCCTGACTTCCATGAAACCTGGAGGTTCATTACCGTTCTCACAACAGTCTGTCACGTGTACTTGTCCTATCCATCCATCCCTCCGTCCGTCCGTCCATCTATGGCAGCCCTTTGTCGGGCCACAGTCATTATGACTCCTTTGACTGGGGATCAGCCCGTCGGATGAGCCCTGTACACAGAACAACACAAGCACAGAATAAACGCACAGACACACCCATGCCTCAAGTGGGATTCGAACCCACGATCCCAGTGTTCGAGAGGGCGAAGACCGTTCATGCCTTAGACCGCGCGCCCGCTGTGATCGGCTCCCATTGATTTGAGCGTCATGAAAATGTGCAGTGAGTAATGGAGGTTATGAAGCTCTTCGCTGTGTAATTTTCTCCATCCTCCTGTCAGATGTTCTCCACAGGTCCCTTGTCTCAAGCACTCTGCCTCACGTTCTTCACTTAATATGAGAGATGAGGTTTCGCTCCAGTACAAAACTTTGAAAGAAAGATGCTTTCCTTGTTCTTAAAAAGAAAAGGAGGCTTGTGAAATCACCTTGCTGTCTGTGTATCCGTCTGTGTCTGTACATCTGCGTACTCCAATAATTTTTCAGTTTTCTTTGTTCCGTGAGGTATCAAAGGAAAATACACGATTAATTCTTCCCAGAACTTCTGTAGTACAATCCTTATATGTTATTATAGGAGTCGGTGGTAGGCATTCTCAGAAATGATTCTGCCTTTAATTTCTTCGTCAGTGAATTTTAATTTTTCTACATTTTCAAAGGATATATTAGTTGTAATTATATTATTATTATCATTATTTCGGCGTTATGAATTCGAGATATATACTCACGTGCCCACTTTTACTTGCCAATAGCGAATAACCACGAAACATTAGTATAATAACGTTTGTGCCATCTAGTAGCTGAGATGAGAAGTAAACTTATTTCAGAAGTGCAGTATGAAGGTCAGGTTCACAGCTAACGCCTCACCCACGTTAACATGAAAATCGCATTTTCATTTGTTACACAAGTATTGCTGCCGGTCTGCGGTGTACTTAACTTTGTTGAGGCTTATTTCTAGAGCGTTCCTTACTCGCTTCTTTGTGCTTCTCGCGGTATAAAGACTTAACGGAAACTTCATAGAAACATTTCATCAGTTTGAAATGCGCCTTTGTGTAGGCATATATACAGAACAAGTATTTCGTAGCCATGCTTCTGGAAGTCAATAGCAATTCATAATTCATTCCTAAAACTCCATGGTTCATGTTCTCGTGGATTTGAAGGGACGAGTGGTTATATTATTTCAATCCATCGCAGACCGCGTCTGTATATATGGGAAGAAGCAGTGAACTCTGGACTACTGGAACAGTTCCTAGGATATTCTCGTGAGGCAGATGGACCATTTCTGCAGTATAGTTAGGATATAACGACAGATCTCTTGTTTGGCAATATGCTTTCGGGTTCCACAAAATTTCTGTAGTAGCTGATAATTTGGTAACTACTGCCCCGTGATGTGTTAAGTAAAATCATCTGTCAGTAAGCAGGGTATACCGTATTTACGCATGTATAGGCCGCACATGTTTTGCCAAAATTTCAAGAGGAAAACTGGGGTGCAGCTTATATTCGAAATATTCGAAATCACACTTCATTTAAAAAAATTATATTCATAATTAGTAATACAGGGTGTTCTACTCCTGAAATAATATTCCAAGAAAATTATTTTTTCTATAATTTCTGTCTGAAAATTGTGCTGCGGCCTATAAACGCACGCGGCCTATACATGCGTAAATACGGTAGTTATCTCGATTATATGGTTAGAAGTGGGGTAGGCTCTGGTAGGTGCCGTTTACATAGTTTCGGAGCGCTTCGTTCTGAGGAAGGTACAGTGCCACTATAAGACGATGCAACTCTCCTTCCCAACAACGTTAAGGCGCGTCCACATTACTCGTGCTCGCCAGGCTTGTTCTCATCGGCAGACTCGTCTGGCTTTTACTTGTGCTCGTAAATCTTCGTCCACACTACTTCAGTTGCTCGCCAGGCTTCGGCGCGTGAGGATCCGTATATTTACTCGTAGTGTGTATAGGCTGTAGTCGTATCTTAATTTACTGGCTATAGTTTTTAAATTAGCTTGTCTCGTGACTTGTCATATCTTCCACATTACTCGCGAGCATAGCGAGCCACACGAGCACGAGTAATGTGGACGCGCCTTTACACGTAGGAACGAATCCACGAGCCTGCAGTCCACTGACTGCTTTCTGATATGTGTTGGGCATTCCCTTTAGGTTTCGTGCTGTTCTGGAGCGCCTACCTAGCTCTGAACTGAAGCGTATACCTAGTTCTGAACTGGAGCATGTACCTTATTCTGAAGTGGAAAGCATACCTAGTTCTGAAAAGAATCGTCTATTGAGTTCTGAACTGGAGCGCCTACCTAGTTCTGAACAGAATCGTCTGCTTAGTTCTGAACTGGATCGCGTACCTAGTTCTGAACAGAATCGTCTACTTAGTTCTGAATTGGAGCGCCTACCTAGCTCTGAACTGAAGCGTATACCTAGTTCTGAACTGGAGCATGTACCTTATTCTGAAGTGGAAAGCATACCTAGTTCTGAAAAGAATCGTCTATTGAGTTCTGAACTGGAGCGCCTACCTAGTTCTGAACAGAATCGTCTGCTTAGTTCTGAACTGGATCGCGTACCTAGTTCTGAACAGAATCGTCTACTTAGTTCTGAATTGGAGCGCCTACCTAGCTCTGAACTGAAGCGTATACCTAGTTCTGAACTGGAGCATGTACCTTATTCTGAAGTGGAAAGCATACCTAGTTCTGAAAAGAATCGTCTATTGAGTTCTGAACTGGAGCGCCTACCTAGTTCTGAACAGAATCGTCTGCTTAGTTCTGAACTGGATCGCGTACCTAGTTCTGAACAGAATCGTCTACTTAGTTCTGAATTGGAGCGCCTACCTAGGACTGAACTGAAGCGTCCACCTAGTTCTTGACTGGAGCATGTACCTTATCCTGAACTGGAACATGAACCTAGTTCTGAACTGGAACATATACCTTGTTCTGGACTGAATCGTCCACTTAGTTCTGAACTGGAGCATGTACCTTATTCTGAAGTGGAAAGCATACCCAGTTCTGAAAAGAATCGTCTATTTAGTTCTGAACTGGAGCGCCTACCTAGTTCTGAACAGAATCGTCTGCTTAGTTCTGAACTGGATCGGGTACCTAGTTCTGAACAGAATCGTCTACTTAGTTCTGAATTGGAGCGCCTACCTAGGACTGAACTGAAGCGTCCACCTAGTTCTTGACTGGAGCATGTACCTTATCCTGAACTGGAACATGAACCTAGTTCTGAACTGGAACATATACCTTGTTCTGGACTGAATCGTCCACTTAGTTCTGAACTGGAGCATGTACCTTATTCTGAAGTGGAAAGCATACCCAGTTCTGAAAAGAATCGTCTATTGAGTTCTGAACTGGAGCGCCTACCTAGTTCTGAACAGAATCGTCTGCTTAGTTCTGAACTGGATCGCGTACCTAGTGCTGAACAGAATCGTCTACTTAGTTCTGAATTGGAGCGCCTACCTAGGACTGAACTGAAGCGTCCACCTAGTTCTTGACTGGAGCATGTACCTTATCCTGAACTGGAACATGAACCTAGTTCTGAACTGGAACATATACCTAGTTCTGAACTGAATCATCTACCTAGTTCTGGACTGGAACATGGACCTAGTTCTGAACAGAATCGTCTACATAGTTCTGAACTGGAGCATGTACCTTGTTCTGAACTGGAAAGCATACCTAGTTCTGGACAGAAGCTTCTACCTAGTTCTGGACTGGAACATGGACCTAGTTCTGAACAGAACTGTCTACATAGTTGGGAACTGAAATTGTACCTAGTTCTGGAAAGCCATTTCCACGCCTGCCCATTTATGACCTTACATAAGGAGAATCTTTGTATTTATACACGTCAACCGGTATCGCTAGCTCAATGAGCTGTGAGTCTGACTAGGATGGGCTACACAAGAAATGCATACATAATTTTCTAAAGAACATGTTGCAGAACGTCCACGTGCAATGATGATAAAACTGATAATGCAATATTAAGATATGTTTGAGAGTTGGCTACAAGTATCTCAGGATTATATCTAAGAAAGGGCATTACTGTAAGCCGTTTTGAACATCCCGTTTCTACTGCCACGGTATTAGTTACATTACATTACGTTAAGTGGAATGATGACAGTTCATTCCAAGCCACTGCCCCTGTACTTGCTATATGAAAAGTATTCTTCTTTTGTTTCTCCGTCAGCATTGCAGGAAATGGTGGGAGAATGCGTTAGTATCCATTATTTAGCCTTCAGTTACCACCTAATCATTACCTCTTCAGTATTGACTGTAGCCTGAAGGCAACCAACAAACTATCTTGCACTTAAGCTGTCTGTTCTGCATTTATCTTTACAATTGAAAGGAAATTACACAGGTTTTCCTACTCACGACTGTGCCCAGTTGGGTGGACGGCCAATAAGACCTTGCATACGCCTGCAAGATATACACATTTTCTAGCTCTGGTACAGATGTTTCGAAATGACGGAGTTTATATCGTGGTTAATGAATACTGAAGGGAGTCTGGACATAAGGGGAAATGCAGTGTCTCGAAGGTGCTGTTGTCTCGCGGTACATGAACACGCATTAAGCGGGATGGCAGGAAACTTGTTTCCACTGTCATGACAAAGAATGTTGAGTATACTGAATAGCGATCCACAGCTTCAGTGCAACAGTGATACTAGTTACTGCAGCATTTAAATGTTTAGACATCTAAAGGACGATTTTCTCTAAGTAGTGTATACAATCCATTGCCTGCCTCACAGGAAGCTCCACGTCTGCGTTATAAAGTACAGTTGGTTAATACAGCTACTCTGAGAGTCATGTGAAACACTGTGTTAAATACAGAGTTCTCATAGTGATTTTTTTTTCTCATGGGGTGGGACTAAGTTCCTTGTACTGCAGCCACTACTGGCCTATTGTATCAGCCCCAGATGATAGATGATTGTGATTGTGGAGAATCGGTGGAATGAAGATTGGCAGGGGAAACCGAAGTACTCGGAGAAAACCTTTCCCAGTGCCACTTTTTGAACCCAAAATCCCACATGACCTGACCCGGGCTCGAACACGGGCTGCCGCTGTGGGAAGCCAGTGTGTAAGCGCCTAAGCTATGGCAAGGACCTACATATAATTACCATCGTGGTGTATGCGTGTGAAACTTGGTCTCATGTTAAGGGAAGAAGGGTGTTTGAGAACAGGGCGCTGAGGAGAATGTTTGGACCGAAGAGGAGTGAAATGATAGGAAGTTGGAGGAAATTGAATAATGAGATTCATAACTTATAGTCTTAACCCCCAAAATTAGAATGGGGAAAGTCAAGAATTGTGAAATGGACAGGGAATGTAGCACGCATGCAGGGAAGACGAATCTAGTGGTTTTTGTGGGAAAGCCAGAAGGAAATGGGCCACTAGGAAGACCTAGACGTAGTTCCGATGATATTAAAATGTAACTTAGAGAAATTGTATGGAGTGGTATGGACTGGATTCATCTGGTTCAGGCTAGAGACCAGTGGCGTGCTTTTCTGAACGCAGTTGTAAACCCTCGGAAACTATAAAAGATTTCGGGAATTCTTAAGTAGATGAGCGACTGGCGGCTTCTCAAGAAGGACTCGGCTCCGTGCGGTTAGTTTTGCACTTAAAAGCAGAAAAGCTTCTGAACAGAGCATGCGCAAAACCTAACGTCTATCTCCAACCGGGGTAAATTTTAAACTATTTCGTATGACGGTTTTCTGTATCAGGACAACATTTTGTTCTCTGAGTGTTCTTGCTTGGCTGACACTTCGATCCTGAAGATGGAAGCGATATGTCTTCTAAAAGTCGGTTGACATGTACGGAACTGCACGGGATTTTATCCCAGAAAATATAATTCTTCATAGTCACCGCTTTGAGAGTAAAGAAAACTCCGTGGCTTGTAGTCCGTAAGCGAAGTATACCGACTGAGCGACCGTCGTTTGTCGTCAAAGTTAGTGCCAACTTTAGCGGATAGAGGGTGTCGCGTGGTCAGCGCAACGGTTCCCCACGGTTGTTAATTTCGGTCTTCTAGACCGCTGTGAGAATCACAAATTAAAAAAACAGAAATTTCCTTTGGACTTCAAATGAGATCTGTATTTGCATTGGAACCATAGTCATATAGTTTTCTGAGCTTTCTTTCCATTGGGCTGTGTCGTTCACTTAAAGGGGGAATTTTCTTCACATTAAGAACGAAAGCGTTTATTTTATGATTGGGGTTGTTTTGTTATTTTTTTATTTTGGTATGGCGCACCGGTTTCTTTTTCGAGTTCTTTCGACAGAACTTCGCAGATTCCTTCTGTTGGACTCGATAAGCACTTTCCTCTGACTTCTTATTTCTATTAAGAATTGACTGCACCAGAAAAGATGTTTAATGACTGGAGGTTTTGCATATACTGCACCAAGCTCGGCTCTTCCCCTGCGTCACTATGAGGGAAGCGTCGCAATTCTAAGGTCCTTAGTTTGCTTCCCTTGCCCGTTCATTACTTGGCTTACTCTTTGACCATGAAGATGGAGGCAGCATGTTCTTCCGAAACGTCTGTAAATCATAAACTCCTAATATACTACAAGGCGTCATATCGTAGACGTTAATACTGTTTATAAAATTCTTTGTTTCCTGTTTACTGGGGGTTCTTCCCCGGGTGTAAATCTGCCGGGCGTGAAACTCATCATTCACTTTCATTTAGTGCCGAGGTCAAAAATCGTAGAGCTATGCCTCACCTCTCTATGCATCATCATGGAAGCGAATTTACCTGTACCCTATTGTTAATGTAATGCAGTTATACCAACTGTGAAAATTAATTTATCTTCTGCGAAATGAAACTGGAGAGATCTGTAGATCAGTCATGTAATCTGATAACGAGAAATATCTTGTCTGGCAAGGCGACGAATTAATGAATGCTTGGGTTCAGAGGTTGAAAACGCGCTGCTGCAACTGGACATGTTACGTAAGGGTTGGCAGTACGCATTGGTAATCATTAAGGAACCCCCAGCTGGTATTTGATTTGTTATCCAACAGCTGTGTGTTACTTGCCGTCATGTTGGAGGGACCAGGTTTCTCTGTTGCTCAAGTACATGCAGCGTGAAGTGACGTCAGAGATGTCTGATTCTGCGCAGTGAGACCTAAATGTTGTGGGCTGTTCCGACTCGGGTTTTGCTGTCTTTTCCTTAGACCCTCCAAGAAAATTGCAGAACAGTATCTCATTTTAGGCCATGATCACTTTTTTTTTGGCATAATTTCCACTTCATTAATCGTCCTATTATTTGACGCTGTATCAACTGAGCCATTTAAACAGTCGTCATACAAAAACACCTTGGCCGCTTTGATCGGCAGCGATATATGACTATCCTTTAGTAATCCTTTTCAGTAAGTCTCCCCATGAATACTGATTTATAAACCCCACTTGCTTGCAGCCGGTTTACTTAAGTCAATTCGGTTAATATATACCTTATTTTAAGCGGCCTCCGTAGTCTAGAGGTAACGGTCCCACCTCATGACTCGTAGTACGCGGGTTCAAATACCCGGCGGAGGTCGTCGAATTTTTAAGGGCGGAAAAATTCAGGGAACAAGTCCTCCGGGAGGGACTTTAAGCCCTGGGTCCCGTGTCGTAGCTTTACGGCACGTAAAAGAACCTCATATTTCCGAAGGAGGTCACTGAGCCAAATTACGGACGTTTCCCGCCCAACAGCAGTCTGTAATACCTCTGGTAGATGGGGGAAGCATTATAGATACCTCTCAGCTAGTAGAGCCGGTCTCGCTGGCTGGGCGGGACTGATGGTAAGCACCAGTACCGGTAGGATATAGAGACTGGTAGAATATCATAGAGGGAAGCACAATGGACCAATAGAGGTCTAAGTGCATGGGGAAACCCACCCTCTCCAATAACTA